CTCCTCCTCCTCCCCTTCTCCTCCTCCTCCTTTGACTTCTGCTCCTCCTTTTTCATCCCTCTCCTCTTTCTCCTTTTCTTGTTCTCCCACGTGTTCCCCGAAGGGTTTCCACAATGGTTGGGGATGAGCACCAAATCCGATAGCTCGCCGCAATTTTCTGCCACAGATGTAATTCGCCATAGACGTCTTCGAAGAATGTGTGTTTAGCTGCTGGTGCGCGGTCGGCTCTAGGAAACTTGGGAGCAAAGCGTGGCAGACGCCGAGCGGCCAGGTAGCTGGCGGGCGGCGCCCAATTAGCTGGCCCAGGTCTGCTGCATGTATATACCGACCTTCTGATATCTATGTCACACGCATCTCAGAAAACTTGTGATGGAAGCACGCGGACAGAACGGTTCCTGGCCTCATCCTCCTCCCCGTCCTCCACTTCCGTTTCCTCGCCCCCCTGCTCCTGCCAGCAATTGAAAACTGGTGGTGCCTAGTGCCTAAAACGGAGGTCGGCCTTGCTGCCTCCCGCCACGAAGGGCCTGGTTGCTCACGCGGCCTATGCGCGGAGCGCTCCACTCTGGCACCTCGGGCGCATCCAGCGCCTCCAGCGCCGCAAGCGCGTCACGCATACGCTTCAGAGCATCCAGCTCAGCACGGCTGGGCGTCGACATCCACTCCGGCTCCAGCCTGGCCGGGCTACTCTGGGGCGAGACCAGGGGGGCGGGACTCACAGGCGTGCCCTGCTCGGCCAGCCGCGCCACTGGCCCTGGCGACGGCGCAGGGCCCGCGAGCGGCGAACTCCTCGGCGGGTGGACGTGGGTCACCTCGGCATCTGGCAGCTCCGCCCTGCCTTCCGCTGCAGCCGCGTGAGCCGAGGCCCACGGTGCAAGCGCTGCCCGCGCCGGGGGGGCCGACAGGTCCACCCAGTGCGGGACGAAGCGCAGCTCGCTCGTCCACATCAGGCCACGGCGGTGCACGTCAGCCGGGCTGTCCTGGCCCGGCTCTGGCTCTGGCTCTGGCTCGCGCGACCCACCGGCAGCGCGCATCAGCTTGGGAATGCGGGGCTGCGGGGCGGCAGAGTAGCGCATCATCCCCGGAAGGGCGGGGCTGTGCCGCGGCAGGGCGGCGGGCACCGAACAGCTTGGAGGGCGAGGCACTGAGGCCCAGCGGCTCTGAACCAGAACGGCTGCAGGACAGCAGTACAGGTCGGCTGATCGAGTGCGAGGACGGTGGAGGGGGGGGAGGAGGAAGGGGAGGATGAGAGCTCAGCTGGGAAGCCTGCTTCTTCCACAACCTCCACGGGTCTCGAATGCCTGCTTGCCGCGGGAGCCCTCCTGGGCTCGGCTGCCCCAAGATGATTCCGATGCAATTCAAGCATTTGACGGCTCCTGGGGGCGCCCCATGTGGCTGTCCTGGTCAGAACGCGAGGAGGAGGACGAGGAGGACCGAGGAGGACAATGGAGCAATCGAGGAGGACAGGGGGGGAGGAGGAGTGGGAGCGACGAGGAGACATGAAGAGGAGGCTATGCGCAGGTGTTGAAGCCCCGCGGGACAGCGGCCACCCTGCGCCGTGTGCCGCCAGCACCCCGCAACGCCTATGGGCCATGGGCGTCGGGGTGGGTGCGCTTCCTCAGGTCGGGACTCGGCCCTGCGGAGCAGGCTTCAGCCCAGGGGGGGGGGAAGACGAGGGAGGGCCGGGCGGAGAACCCGCGGGTCGGGGCGAGCGCGCAGGGGGGCCCGCAGGCCGAGAGGAGGGGCCCCGCGGACCGAGAGGAGGGGCCCGCGAGCCACGGAGAGGCCCGCGCGCCGGGGAGGGGCCCGCAGGCCGGGGAGGAGGAGGGGCCCTCGTCCTCCTCCCCGGTCCTCCTCGTCCTCCTCCCTGGGCCCCTCCTCTCGGCGCCGAGAGGAGGGGCCCGGGGAGGAGGACGAGGAGGACCGGGCCGGGCGAAAGGCGGGGATAGCAAAGGGGGGGTTTGAGCTTCAGCTCCCGTAGCTGATTTTCCCGGTGCCTCCCGGCGCCAGAGGCGGCCATGTATCGAGGAATGGGCCCCTCGGTGGGGCCGAAGCCAGCTGCACACGCAGCAGATTTCGTAACCCCCCCTGTCCCCATCCCCCCATTTCGTCCTGCCCGAGAGGAGGGGATGGTGGAGCAGCGTGGGTGGTCACGATGCAGCCGCCGCTCGGGGGCTGCTGAAGGTGCCCCTGGCCCAAGGTGCCTCCAGCTTGTCGGTCAACTCTGGAGCGCCTGAGGCCCGCTGGGCCTCGTTTGGGGTGCACGGGAGGCCGTGGGGGCCTCCTTGGAGATCCTGGGGGCACCTTGGGAAAGGGCACTCCTAGCAACACCCGAACCGCGCCGACGCCGGCACACCCGTATCACAGGTCGTGCCCCGCAGGGAGCTCCGCCATGGCCCCAACGGGGAACTCGCATGGCGCTGCCGCGCTCATGTCGGCACAACCTATGGACCCAGCGGAGGAATTCGCATGGCACCGCCGCGCGCGCGCCAATTTCGGCACACACACACACACACACACACACACACGCACACGCACACACACACACACACACACAGACACGCACACACACACACACACACACACAGACAGACAGACACACCTTACGCAGAACGTCCCCCATTGAGGGCTCCATCTAAGGCCCCAGTGGGGGAGCTAGCATAGCGTTGCTGTGCCCTCTTCGGCACACCCTCGCACGTCTGGCGCTCCGGAAGGAGCCCCGCCTAATTACGGACCGCGGGGAGGCCAGCATACTGCAGTCCCTCGAGTTCCAATTCGTCTCTCGCGTGGACCGCGCTCCATCGGAAGCCGCGCGAGCATTCTGTGAAGGGGTGCACTTCTTGGGCTGAGCCCATCGCCGAGCAAATCGGATGTCCCGAGGGTCTTTGGGCGCTTCCAGGGGCGCCACCGTGGCCACGGCGGAATGGGCCTCGAAACTCCGACCGGACCGCACCCGAGGAGAGGCCTGGGGCCCCATCTCCAGGGGGGGGGGGGGGGGGCACCTCCTCTCCTCCTCCTCCTCCTCCTCCTCCTCCTCCTCCTCCTCCTCCTCCCTCCTCCTCCTCTCCTCCTCCCCTCCTCCTCCTCCTCCTCCTCCTCCTCCTCCTCCTCCTCCTCCTCTCATTCGTACTATTATTCTTACTATCACTCATCGCATTCGTATTCTTAGTACTCTTGGTTATCCTTCGTATTAGTAATATAACTTATGATGTGTGGTAGTCGCACTGCTCTTGTTACTGTTACTACGAATGCGATGGTAAATATACTGGTTGGTAGTTTTAGTAACAGTAGCATCATTCGAAATAGTCGTATGATTAGGTTAATAATGTTCGTCTGATGTTTCTTCGTTCCCTTATTCGTATGCGTATTCTTAGTCTACTGAATAATAGTATTATAATTCGTTTTCTTAGCATGTTCGTTATTAGTAGTATCCGTATGCTTATTATTTGTATCTGAATACGTGCGGTTATTCTTGGTAGTATTAGTGTTATTAGTATAAGCCTTCGTTTTAGTATATCATTGTTCGTCTCCTTCGTATTCGCAATATGGCTGTTCATAAGGAAAAAATAGTGATCGTGTTCGCTTTATATGTCTAAGTAACATTACTCATATGTTTATTCCTCCTCCTCTCCTCCTCCTCCTCCTCCTCCTCCTCCTCCTCCTCCCCCTCCCCTCCTCCTCCTCCCCCCCTCCTCCTCCTCCTCCTCCTCTCCTCCTCCTCCTCCTCCTCCTCCTCCTCCTCCTCCTCCCCTCCTCCTCCTCCTCCTCCTCCTCTCCTCCTCCTCCCTCCCCCTCCCCCTCCTCCTCCCTCCCTCCTCCTCCTCCTCCTCCCCCTCCCCCCCCCTCCACCTCCCCCTCCCCCTCCTCCTCCTGAGGCCCCTTCCACGCCCCGCCGTGAAAAACGACCCGGGCCGGAGAGCGGGCCCGGGAAGGGCCCGAATGGGCAAGCGACCAACAAACAAGAGAAGCGGGGAGTCGGAGGCCCGAGCCCGACGAGGGACACGGCGAGGACACGGCGAGGCCCTGGAGGCCTGAGCCAGACGAGGAGGGGGAGGAGGAGGAGGAGGAGGAGGAGGAGGAGGAGGAGGAGGAGGAGGAGGAGGAGGAGGAGGAGGAGGAGGAGAAGGAGGAGGAGGAGGAGGGAGGAGGAGGAGGAGGAGGAGGAGGAGGGTGGGGGGAACCCGTAGATCAGGAATTCCAGGGCCTGGCGACCGGCGAGCATCGCCGCCGACCCCGGCAGACGAGGAGTCCCCCAGGGTCTGAAGCCTGGGGGCACACTCCTTCACGAGCGCCCCCAGCGTAGAGCAGGAGCAAAGCACTGCATACACACATGGCCTTGCAAAGGCCAGGCACCCCAGGGAGAGCAAGGGTGCAGCGGCAGGGAGCGGCAGCCACGCACGCGCCCGTCTCACCCCTCCCCTGCCACCCCTCTCGGCGCCCCAGCCTTCCGCTCCCTCCTCGCGACGAAGAGAGGCATAAAGCTAAGTTCTCGGAAGGCCGCAGGGATTTCTTGGATCGGCGCCGGACCCGCCTCCCTGGCGCCACCCGCGCGCCAGGGGCGGCATCAGAGGTGCCGCCAGGAAATCCAAGAAACCTGCGCGGAGCTCCGAAATGTTGTGTTCATGCAGCTAGTATGATGATTACCATTAATACGATTTGTACGATTCGTCTTATCAATATCCGTAATACTGCGACAAATAATGTTAACACTAGATCTACGAGCAGTGATGCATTTGTTATTAATTATAATCATGCGAGTAGTAGTAATAGTAATACTATGAATGTGCGTTCCCCTCTGATTCTTCTCCTCAGTAATAGTGTTGTTCTTCTTTTTATCATGAGTGTTATGGATCGTATTCGTATTATTTGTATGAGCATGCTTATTAGTAGTACTCTTCTTCGTAAGGTTACTCTAATTGCTATTATTTGTAATACTACTATTATTATGTCTCTGCTTCTTCCTCTTCCTTCTTCGAAGACGCCGTGGCCCACGTCCGCAGCCGCTCGTGGCCAGCGCCCGCCGCCACCATGGCCCACCTCCGCCGCCACGCCAGAGAAGGACGAGGAAGGCCGGGGCAGACGCCCTGGAAGGAACGAAAGCTGGGGCGCGGCACAGGGCAGGGGCCCAGGGACACACACACACACACACACACACACACACACACATACACACACACACACACACACAAATCCCAGGATCCCCCGCATTTGTTGACATGTTCTGTATTTCCGTCTTTCCCCCCAGTTCCCATCTCTTCCCTGGGCGTCGACGATGAATTGCGTCTGTGCGTTCTTGTTTTCCCTCCCGTCGTAGGGCGGGCGGGCGGGGGGTGAGGCGGGCGCGTGCACTGCTGCCGATGCCCGCCGCTGCCCCTCTGCCGCTTCTCTCTAGATTCTTCTCGT